ATTCCTTGACAAATTTACAATGCCCTCAATTCCTAGCCCAATTAAAGTACGAATTCTCGTATTCGCCCCTATTTCAAAATTCAAAAAGATTTTCCCCATGTCATGATCGCGCCAAAGTTCCCTTCCCCGCTTCCAGCAGAACAAGAAAGAAGCTACGACATTAGTTATTTCTGCGCTCACTAAGGCACGCTCTAACTACCAACTGCCATGGGACCAAGCTTTCTCAAAAAGATGGGGGCATTTGTGCAATCGGGTTGGCCCCACCCATTCAACCCTCGAAATACAGTCGCACAGAAAGTCGCGCGTTTCAGAAAGTATTTTCGTCACATCCTCTTGTAAACATTCATAGTTGCTGGTTCCCCTAACTTCCGCTACCCCTACCATTCTGTAGCTGAGCAGATGAGATTGTATAAGCCCCCCTTAACCTCGACTTGTGCTGTGGTTAACCTCGACTTGTGCTGTGTTCGCTGTTTCCTGGGGGATGAGTACCCCCTGGCCGGCTGTGGGGAGGAAGAAGATTGAGGGCAGGGGGGGGTTGAGGAAGGAAAGCGGGGAGGGGCTGGGGATGGGGAGGGGGGGGGGGGGATCAGGACTGAGAGTCAGACAGGGGTTACACACAGACTGATTAGGAAGGGCCTGGTTGGCCCTCCGATGGATCGCTGGAAATCAGTAGGAACTTACTAGGAAGTCTGTTGGTTGAAATTCACTAGTGAAAACTTACTAGGAAGTCTGTTGGTTGAAATTCACTAGTGAAGTCGTCCGTGCGGAGGAATTCCCACTTCCTCTCCGTAGAGAGCCATGGTTGCCACACTGCAGGTTATGTTGGTGGTCCCGTGTGCACAGTCTCTGGCCCGGGTCCACCCATGTGTTGCAGGAGTTTTCTGGCAATTTTGTCCGCTTTGGTTCGTCCATCTCTTGTTTGAGCCTGGACCTGAGTTTTTTCCAGTCTTCGTGAGTCTGAGCTGTTATGGTCTCAGCAATAATGGATCTTGCCTGTATAAATCCAAATGTTTAATATTGGTTTCTTTCGTACGAGCATCTCATGCCCCATGCAGCCATGAGAATTGCCAGCCGGGTGTATTGGAACAGGTTAAATGGACCGAGCCACTGTTTCGTAAAGTCTGAAGTGCTGCAGCGCTAAGTTCTTCCTCCAATGCAACATACGCTGGTCATTATGGCTGTATTTGGTGCGCTTTCAGTCTAAATACAGCTATATTAATAGCTGCGGACTTCACTCTTTATGGAGCCTCCCATCGCAGTTACGGGATTGTGGGAGTTCTTACTTTACACCATCATAATTTCTTGTTGAGCCTAAATGTGCCCTGCATGCCAAAGAAAAACCATTGCCCCCGGCCTGCTTTTGGCTGGTGCGGCCAGCCATTGTGGTCCGGTACCCCAACCCCCGGAAAATGCGCTCGTATACGAGAATCGTTCTTCTTTTAATAAGGACAGGTGCTATGTCCAATACTAGATTCTTTTGGAAATTTTCCTACGACCGGATAAGGGACGCTGGGCCCGGTTCCCAGCTGTAGAAGGGCTGAGAATATTCCTCAGCACTACTTGGATAACATTCAATAGTGAGATAACACTCAGGGACGCTGGACCCGATTTCCAGCCTTTGCAGGGTGGTATCCTAGTTAACAAAACCATTATCTTTATCCTAGGGAAGGGACGCTGGACCCCGTTTCCAGCCACAGCCGTAGTTGGGTTTCAGCCCCAGTACCTTCCGGGTTGAATTGTGAAGACCCCGGCTTCATTTCATTTATTTATCAACAAAAGAGATTTATTCCGGAAAAAAAAAAAAAAAAAAAAAAAAATCGTTCTTCTTTTTTTTTTGTGTGTGTGTACGCATGTGGAGCCTATGCATTACTTTTATAACGAAAAAAATAAAAAAATAAAAAAAAATCATCATCATCAAAATGAACCCCGCCCCAGGTAATCACACTTATCTTTTTCTGTTCATCTGGTTGCGTCTGCATTTGAACCTCCACAGTAGATGGTTGTTCCAACTGGCTCTTTTTCAGGGCTTGTGGGTCCCACGGGCGGTTGTGGCCATTCATGGCAGAGGTTCCCTTTTGGTGACTTATGTCTCTGGACTTTTACTCCCGAAGACTGAACCGAAGCTCAGCCTGGGTCATGGTCCCAGTACTGTGTTTCTTGACGAATGCCCGGGGCCAAGTCCCACTACCAAGTCGCTGTGAAACTACGACATGCCTGCGAGCCGCAGATAGTCAATGGATTGGACGGTAATAATTTTCTCTCTGCAAAAAGCATGGGAAAACCTTACTTTCGGGGATTGTCATGGGCTATCATTTGTCCCTGTAC